ATTGCTCGTCCCGGGCCGAATGCTACGATATCGAGGGTGCGAAGGTTCCGAGTTGGTGGGCACCGGTAATCGACGCGGAATCCATGAACATGGGCCGTATATAATTAGCCACAGAATTTGATTAGTCTAAGTTATTACTCCATAGACCAGTTTGTACATCTAATTACAATACGTTATTGCGCATATTCATTGTGAATACGATGCAATTATAAATCATCATAATAAAGTGTATGTTTATATACATGTACGGATACTCGTTCGATTTATGCGCCGATACATTCGACCGACAGCCAATATTGCCAATCCCCTTCGTCCCTGCCCACGCCTAATCAATTAACCAGTTTTAGTTCGTTTAATTATGACCGTGCGGTCGGAATTGCGGCGTCGCTGATCGGAACGGGACACATTTGTCGTTGAGTGTGATTTTATCGGAACGTGGCCGTTTGTTATTATTTGTACACTTTCTATTCTAATTTACATAAATATTTACTTTAACGGATGCCGTGTTGATAACATTGACCTTTACATGGGTTGTTAAGGATACCATTTTGAGCAACCTTCCTTGGTAACTTATTTCGCGGTCTCTTATAGCTTTTATGATATTCATTAAAACTGTTTTGATATTTTACTAATTACTTCCAAAGATCCGTTATCCAGTTGGTTACTACATAACAATTTAATACTTACTAATTGCAGGCGTTCTTATCGATAAGTAGTGAATACTTATAAATAATTACGAATAAGAATGACTAGGATTGATAGTTATTCAATTTATTGTGCAACTCAAACACAGTCTACTAAGTACAGTTACATAATATCGAATGTATTTTTACAAACGTATGTCTGGGAGACTTGAGAAACACTTCATGTATAAAAAAATGTTAAAGCAAATAACAGTGTGGAACAAATTTGAACTCTTTTTTTGTTTTGCAATAACCACTAGGTGATCCTTATAGAGTTCCTAACCTTAATATGAATCCGAAAACCAAATTACTGGGTTACACTCAGTTTCCGAAAATCATGGGTTTTTGTAAAAACGGTCGAATTTTTCAGAGAAACAAGTGTTACGTGAAAACTAAAAACAATAGGTAGTTAAAATTTTATCGTAAAAAATAGAGGAGAGTTGCCCGAATATGTAGCTATAAAAATTTTGAATCTTGCGTATCATTAAATGCTTGTAAATGATAATCAAAGTTTAAAAAAGAGTAGCTACGCGTACTTTGCACGCATTTCTGTTAGATTTCTACGAAAAGTAGGCTGGCTAGCACGAATTTGCTATGCACCATTGGATTCGGTTAAAAAATCGCTTTGAACAGTGTAATTATCAAAATATCGAAACTTTCTTAGCGGACGTATTAAACATTATAAGGGACCGACAAATACCCTAATTTGAATGACTACCATAGCGAACCATAATAACGAGAGAAATTCATCAGTTGAATTATTATAGTTTCATATCGATAATGGTAGGAACTTACAAGGCTCAACATTTTGAAGATCAAAATAAGTGTCCTTCGTCTAAAGAAATCATTGTCGGCTTGAAAAATGGTATTAAAGTTCGTCATAAGAAATGCTAAAAACAAACATAAATATTTTATAACAATTATTTTTCGTAGTTCTGTCTCATCAGTCTACAAATATTTGTGAATATTTTCTATAGTTGATATAATTGTTTTAGAATTACTTAAAATTTTAATCTGGTCACTTAATTTCAACTATTTTACACCATAATACACAGAAATATGATCCAATTTATTTCATTGCAGATATTATGATGGTATTAAATAGAAGAATTTTTCTATTTAAAGATTGATCTATTTAAATTACTCAAATTTAGTTCTCACATTGCGATTTTGATGTTCGGTTTCAAATACTTTTTAACGCTATTTCTACCGAAGGTGTTGAAAGCCTCCTTTTGAAATTTTAACTTAAAATTATTATCCAAAATTAATCGTACATTCTGAATTGTCTTTTCGACTTTTCCAATAACGATTATAAAATTAACTGTAGGAAATGTCCAAAATTCAATTGAGGAAAACTGATTAAACTAAAAAATAATTTTAAGTTAAAATTTCAAAAGATGTCCTTTGACACCTTCGATAGAAATAGTGTTAATATGCCAATTTATTAAATTCTTAAAATAACAGAATAAAGAATATTTCAATCTAAATGACAAATCTTTAATTGGTTATCATATATGAATTGTCAATCATGTGATCATAGGACAAATTCATTTCGTTATCGAAACAAACGGTTTAGTGCTTGTTTTGTCAGATTTCAAAGTTTACACTAATAATTCACAATCAATTGACCAACTATGAAACAATATTCACAAAACTGTTTGTAACATGACATTACGTATAACCAAGGTGATAAAATTCATAATACATTAAAAATTCAGGTGTATCTCATACAGTTACCATTTTATTACAGGGTTAATCCTTTTTGCTAGTAACTAATTCAAAAACTCTAATAAAGAGTCAGCTTCAAAAACTTTAATAATGTTTTACAGATTGATGGATTTTAAAACAATCAGGAATTTGTAATACAATAAGACTATTGACGTGTATAATATGTCGTTAACAATTTTGGAACAACATCTTGATGTGCGTCGCATATCATTCCAACTTAAAAGGTGAATTAAAATCTCTATAATATAATTGAAACTTATCTCACATGTAATTCGTGGCAGAACTTCTTTTAATATCCTTTTTCTATTTTCAAGCAGATAACATTGATGATATACTTACAACAATACACTGAATTTCATTGTTGTAATTACTACAGATTGTTTAGAGCTATTTATTACTAACCATTTACTAACAAATTTATTTAATTGTGAACAAAAGAAATAATTTCTTACCATAATGAATTCAACAATGATCATACAATTTAAAGAAATGATTTTCTGGCGAGAATTGGATAACTATGACGATTGCAAAGACGTCTACGGTAATTTAATTAAATTCAACAAAAATACTGAAATAAAGTTATTTATGTGCTGCTTATAACGAACTTTGCAACTTTTAATCAACAGTAATCCGAAACTACATATATACCACGAAATTCAAAAATTATTTTCAGAGTAAAATATTCGTATTTCTGTTAGTCTATTGATTGATGTTTCAAACGTTCCTTTTGGTAGGTATTATCGTTGATTTTTCCTCGTGCTTCTTTTTGTTTGGTTGAAGGAACGCTGCTGGCTAGGAAAAAGGAATTTTGTATTGGTCTTGGCTTGTCGGCCTTGATTTCTAGGTTTCCGAAGATTCTTCTTGGTTGCGCAAACATTGCAGTCTGCCTCATCAGCAGCAGGTTGACATACTGGAACTGTGAAAAGTCAGCGAAAAGAATTCGTCGAACGTGGCGATCATCCACAATTCAAGATCAACATCATTAGAAGAAACTGGAAAGCATACGTAACCATCTCAGAATTATTCATTTAGAATGATACCATGTTGTATGGTTTCCTCGTATTGTACTTCAATTGAAACGAAATACTTTCGTACCTAATTAGTACTGGAATTTCTTAAGTATAATATCATATAATTGTGCACATAACTACAAACTATAATTTAATATCCTACCTCATCCTTAAGTTACCTTGCTGCGCAAGATTTTCTTCCAGTTAAAAATAAAATGACGATTTCATTAAACTCTTACTTAAGTCCTTCTTTCGCATATTGCCAGAAAATTATCCAATTTTTTCTGATGAGTTTTTAATAGTATACAAAGTATTTTACAAGTAATAATAGAAAAACAACTAAACATGCAACTAGATGTAGTATAATGTACAGAGTGAGGCAGTTGAAACAGAACACCTGAATAACTCCGTATCCAAAAGTACCTCTCTAGTTGTCAATAACGCGCATTATAACATAAATATACGCTTCAGTAAATGTAATCCGTACAACAATATGCGATAGATAATATACGGTTTCATTAAAAAATTTACCGATGACCGTGAAGTTTGGAAAAAATAACTTATAAAAAAATATTTTTTTTTACTACCTTTGCTTTTAAAAAAACTTATACTATTTAAGTTTCTTTCTATTCCCAAAAGTAATGAAATTATTCAGGTGTTCTGATAAGGTGTTCTATAAATGCCCCACTTTGTATATTCTGCTAGGTTACTTGATGGTAAGGCTGAAGAATTCGGCTGATTGATCAGTTTTCATTTTTTTACTGTCGAATTTTCTATTGGTTTTATTTCCTAATTCTTGATACCTTCAATCACTGATTTGTTATTCCTCAATACGGTTACACGTACACAGTCGATCAAAATTATAAAACTGTTAACTAGAAAGACATAAGTATATATTATATTTACAATACACGTACTACAGTGCCTGAAATTTCTATAAAGTCACCATGTTTTTCGGTAAAGTCTTATAATTATTCTATACATTGTTCGTAAAAATGAAAATAACATTCTTATTTCAGAAAAAATACAAAAATATAATCTAACAGAAAAGTAATCGTGAAATTTCTATGAAGTTACCAATACTTTACACATATAAAAAAGAAATTAACAATAGTTTTCGGTTTCTTTCTATATGAATGCTTTATCGTGTATCTGTTTCAATACTTTTCCAGGCTTCGTTCACTGCATTCTATAATTTAGTAACAGACTTGTATTGTTTACTATTGCCGTAAACTTTTCTGGTAATGATCCGCCAAACACTTTCTGTGGGGTTGAAATCAGGAGAACAAGTGAGCCATGATAAAGCTCTTATATTCTTTATATAACCACTGTTCTGTCTACGTT